CTGCAGGGTTGGTGAACTTCAGTTTGGGTGTGACAACTTGTTTACTTGGGTACTATAATTTCAGTTTCTGCCCTTTTCCCTTTAAATTTATTTCTGAAGTGCAGTGGTTCCCAAACTTTTCAGCTTTTGACCCACAAAATAACAGTAGCACAGACCTGTGCCCACAACTGTTTTTGGATGGTAAACATTTGTATCAGGTCAACAAAACATGGGCATAGTAACAATATTTTTATACTGCATTTATCCATTTTAAATACACTAACCTCACTCCTTTGTAACAACTAAGGCAAAAATGTAATTAATTCAGAAAATCTTTTCAGGACCCCACCTTGATGTTTCGGGACCCCACTTTGTGTCTCGACCCCAACTTGGGGAAACGCTGCCATAGAAAACACAAACCAAGACACAGAATGTAAAGGAAGATTAATGAGGGGTGATGAGACACAACTGGGGGGGAGACAACAAGGTGTGGGAGGAGCTGGGAAAGAACACAGGGGCACATACAGTATACACAGTGGGAAAACAGAAACACTAGAAAGAAACAAATTGCAAAAGAAAAACAATCACAGTTCCTCACAGATAATGGTTGTCATTTATAAAACCATGAGGAAACATTTGGATGGAGACAATGGAAATTAAAAAGTTAGCTTTTCTTGCACATCAAAAAAGTTAAGTTTTATTATTTTCAAAAGGAAACTTTAAGAATATTTTTTTTCAGTTTCTCTCATAAATGAAACTGAGTTACAGACAGTTGAGATAAAGTTTTAATGTTTACGTATCTTGAATGTTAAAGGAACAAAGGTCAGAGATGTTTCTCTGTGAAATGAGACAAATTATTTTTTTATGTCCAGATAGTATTCATCCAAAAATAACCACTACATCATGCTACAATAACCTAAGGTGGTAGGGAATATCTTTTACACAAAGCTCATCAGTATAAAGAACGAGGAAGCCAGAAGGTTAGAGCTACGGAGACGTTTTACCTGCTATCAGTGAACAGAAACATGGCAATGCTGTTACCTCCTCATGATAACATCAGAAGACTTATCTACAAATCTTATTTTCCATAACAGTAGCTGTTTTCATTACTTTTCCAGTTCAGCTATAATCCTGACAACATTTAAAAGTTAGCGGTTAGCTTGTCGTGTTGAATAGTAAAATAAAGTTTATATTGTACCAAACATTAAACAGAACACTAATTGACCGGAAACATTTAAATAGACCTGGATGAATAGATTTAAACAAAATAAAATGTTAATGCATTCTCTACATTTCCTCCAGCCGACGGTAGAAAAGGCCCAGCTCCACGCTCTGCATGGTGACCAGCTCATCCAGAGCAACCACTACGCCGTGGACTCCATTCGACCCAAGTGTGTGGAGCTCCGGCGGGTCTGTGATGACTTCAGCAACGAGGCCAAGAAGAAGACAGATATTTTGTCCAAATCCCTGCAGATACATGTGGGCATTGACAAGGTAAGGATGCACAGAGAACTTCAGCAAATAACTATGAAATGGAAGGATATACTGCATACTGCACTGCTTTCTGTGTCAGACTTATAGCCTTGTTAAATATGTTTCTGTGTACAGGTTAACCAGTGGTGTGAGTCTGGTATCTATTTGCTGGCTTCCCAAGCTGTAGATAAGTGTCAATCCCAGGAAGGGGCTGAATCAGCTTTAACAGATATTGAGCACTTTCTGGAAACAGCAGAGAAGAACCAACTAACAGAACTGAGGAAACTTCACAACCAGTTCGAGGTTGTCTTATCGGAGGATGTAAAGGTACATTTCAAAATATAATAGTTAAATCTTTGTCAGATGTCCTGATGCATCCCAATAATCCAGGTAGGGAAAAAAAGTTAAGTAGGTCCTCTGGACCAGTTCTTCTTTGTTAAAAAAGGTTTTGTCTCTTGTCCAAGAGACTGAGTAGTTACAGGTAAACTGCAGCCTTTTTCAGAGTGAAAAGGAAGACCCCCAAATGCAGACCAGTGGTCATTCCATATGTTGCAGGAGTTTCAGTGAAACTCAGACATTTATTCTCTAAACATGATGTCCCAGTGACTTTCAAACCCCAAAACACATTATGGCAAAGACTGGTTCACCCCAAAGATTCAGTTCTCCGGCACAAACGGGGTAATATTGTGTATGCTGTTAAGAGTCAGGAGGACTGTGACCAGTTATAAATTGAGGAAATAAAGCAGCTGTTCAAAAGAATGAGCCAACACAGACGAGCTACATCATCAGGYCAGGACTCTGCAGTTTACACTCATCTACAGGCCAGGACTCTRCAGTTTACACTCATCTACAGGCCAGGACTCTRCAGTTTACACTCATCTACAGGCCAGGACTCTGCAGTTTACACTCATCTACAGGCCAGGACTCTGCAGTTTACACTCATCTACAGGCCAGCGGTCTGTAGATGATACGGTAGATATGGTCACTCTTTCAGGGATGAAGATGTTCTCATCCTTGATAGAGAGGAACGTTGGTTTGAGAGAGGAGTAAAGGAAGCCATCTTTGTGAAGAGAACCATTCACCATTAAACAGGGGTGGAGGTCTCCGTGTCCAGTTATCCCTCTCTTACAATGCTGTTATTGCGAGTATGACTCAGCCCCCTGTGAAAAATAGGTGATAATCAGAGCCCTAACGATTGTCAGGCTGATGGTCTTCTATGAATAATAGGGACATTCAGGGCACTAAAGATTTATTGTTCGGCAGAGGGTCCTCTTTTGCATGTGAACAAAAGTTTTGATTGTCATAATTAAACCTGTTTGTCTACCATGAGGAGGCACTATTTATAAGGCTGAGTTTACCTGTAGCTCCTCAGACTGAAGAAGTCTCTGGGAGGACAGACGAAAAGTTTTTAACAAAGAACCAGAGGACCTACTCACCTTTTTTTTTCATTTTCTTTACATGGAAAAATAAGAACGTAATGACGCTGTGTTTTCCACCTACAGGACAGTGTTGGTAAGGCTCTAAAGCGAATGGAGGATGTTCAAGAGATGTTTGAAAAGCGACACGTTAGCCTGAAGAGACTGTCGGCTAAACAACCAAGACCCATCCAGCCTGTTGCTCCACGACCTGAGTCATCTCCAAAACGGCCTTCACAGAAAACTCCCCCCAGGACCACAGGGAGCCAACAACGTGAGCCCAATGGTCTGGATCTAATTTATAAAAATAAGATGAAACCCTTGTGTACCATGATTGTATAAACTTGTTTTTGTGCTGAAAACCACACATCTTGTTCCTGTCCTATTTGAGACAAAGTCTAAAAGGCTTTCATGCAGATGACTGTGATGAAAGAAATTATTACTCATCAAATGTTTTCCCTGTTTGTTTCAGCTCCTGCTCGCAGAACTTCAGATAACTCCAGCAGTGCCAGGCAGCAACCTGAAGCTGATCCCAACAAAAGGAAGAACATACGTAAGACCAAAGTAGGCATCAAGGTACATTATTATCCTACTACTATAAAGTATTTAGGACACCTAATGTTGAAAAAATATCTCACTGTCTGTATTTCTACTCAGTAATGTCAGATTATTTAATAAAAAAAGGGTCATGCTGATGGCTGACCTCAGGAGAGTTAAAAGTGGGGCATTGTTTGGACATATGAGATATTTGTACAGGTTTATGCTTTATCTAGCCTAAACCAGACCCTTGTCCTTCACTTTGCTTCATACGAGGGTCTGGACTCTCGGCTATAGAGAAGCGGTTCTTGCTGGAGGTGTGGCCTCTGCTGAAGTTTAAAATAATTGGATCAGTTGGCCACGACATATGTGTGCCAGCTCCACCATGAAGGAGGCTAAGCTGAGAAGCTAACTGGAAATCGCCTGCGCTGCAAACAACCCTACTGAGAGGAGAGAAGTGTCGAGCCGAATGAGACGACTGTAAATGAGAGCTGCTGCTTTGTCAGACAAATTTAATTTAATTTGGAAGCCTTATCAACACGGACTGGCTTCATTCACTTCCTCCACTGTCATTGCTGAACTACAAGCAGACACTGCGCAGAAAATTTACGTCATTCAAAACTCCGCCTTCTGTTCTCTGATTGGCCCGAATGAAATTCTCCTGAAGAAATTCTTGTCTATGAGAGAAATCCCAGATGGAGCAGTGAAGGGAAACTAGAAACTGCGTAGGAAGGCAAGGGCCAGGCCATGCTTTATCCAAATTTCCTGAGAAAGCCATTACACATTTAATATTAGACTGAATTCATTAGTTTGTACATCAAATCATATTTAATTTATATGTTGATTTGACTTGATCAGTGACATTTTAAGGCAAAGCTAAATAACCTTTTTTGCGTGAACAGTTCGAAGATCTTTTTGTCCCTACCTAAATATCAACAGGTTATTAACTTACTGAGCATTCCTCTCCAACTGTCCAAACTGTGCTTTTCATTCATTTGTTTTACATTCTTTACTTCTGTTATTGAAATCTGTTGTTTTTATCAATAAAGTCTCAGGGTAAGTAGAGTTTTATTTTGATGACCTAATATTTTTAGCTACTTTGTGAGGGGTCAAAGCATCAAATGACGACTGGAATGCCCCTTTTTGTGTGCGAACAAAGACTGAAACAGGAAATCTGAGGCAACAAAGTAACATTAGGAGCACCATACTGCACACTGCCGTCTCATGGTGGAGTTTTAGGTTTTATCAAGCCAAGTGACAAAAAACCCCCCCAAAAAAAACCCAAGCTATGCTGCACTTCCTTCAACACCTCCCTTGGACTTTTTGTCGTCAATGAGTCGACCACAAACTCTTCTGTAGACTAAAAGATTCTACAGTCAAATGTAAAACCATCTTTTAGGCAGGATGCAACAGGACAGTCAATGATTCCAAACACAGCAGTAAATCTACAACAGAATTATTCAAAAAAAAAAAAAAAAMAACCAAAGAGCTGAAAGCTCAAAGGATGAAAGTTAATACTAGATGTCAGTGATCTTTGGGCCTTCAGTGCCACTCTTACAGATTAGAGAAAAGAGGGACCATCCAGCCTTAGATCATCACACAGGTTAAAAGTCTGCCTCTCTGATGGTATGGGAGTGCATTAGTTTCAATGCATTGGCTACCTTTCAGTGCAGAAAAGTATAAACAGGTTTTAGAAAAACATATAATCCAACCAGATGATGTCTTTTTCAGGTAGGGTTTTGCATATTTCTGAAACACAATGAATGGCAACATACTGCAGCCTGACTGCACAGTAAATAAGCCCGGGTGCTGAGATGATCTGCCTGCACTCCAGAAC